GCTTACCTGGAGAGGAAAAGGAGGTAAGAGAAAGCCAGGGTATGTGTAAATAGTCACCAGCTGCATGCAGGTCAGTTGTAGAGAAGTCTGTATGCTGCTTTCTGTGTCCCTGCTATGGAATTACAGCTGAAAAGATTCAGATAGGGTATTAGGAAAGATTTTCTCATAAGAAGGTAGAGCACTGGAAAACTTTGGAGATCTCTGAAAACGTTCTAAGCAATGGGAGAGAATCCATGTATCACCAGGCAGTGATGTGAGGCATGATTTAGATGTCCAGCCTTGCAGAAGAAAATGACCTAGGGTATCCTCTTGATGTCTCTTCCAATCCTGTGTTTTTCCTCTGTAGTGGGTCATGTTTTGTTCCAAGTTAATACAACTTTTCATGTCTTAAGGTGGAGTAAGAGAACGAGGCTGGTTCCCTAGGAAATGTGTGGAAAAATGCCAATATGACTCTGAAACGGATCAACCAGTGGATGGAGAGAAGAAAAACAGATAGCATTCTCATTTTTTAAATAAGAAATGGAATTTTTACTTCAGACCACAATCCTTTACTTGAAATTTTCTGTGTATTACTTTAGACTTATGCAATGAATATGTTAGGACAAGGTTTTCTTTTCCTTGCAGTTGAAAGGGTTGGATATGCCTGTGCCATGGTTTGCGTACTTTTTTTAACAATAAATAATTGAAGAAGCCATTCAGTGGATTGCCTTCAAGATGCGTTTTTTTTAACCCCAAATCGAGGTGGGCTTTTTTGCTATTTAAATTGCAGTCTGAGGGTTCATATCTTAAGTTTTTTTTCCTCAACCGCATCTGATTGTGATGCGTACTGCTTATCTTTTGTATATTACTTTCTCTGAAGCTGCCCCTGACAACTATAAATATCTGATTCAAATTCAAGATAAAATTTGTTACCTGTGACTTTTAATGATGTGAATTGTTCACCTCAAATAAATGATACATTCATAATCACTTGTGGTTTTAATTGTTCTTAGACCTACAAGAACTTGTTTACAGGCATGGGAATGTGAGCTAGCTAGGAATAGATTTCACTGTTATGTTGGTTCTCAAGGTTAGAAAGACTTCAGCTCTTGCTATGAGAATATTCTCTGCTTTTAATGGGGAAAAAAATAGCTAGCTGTATCACTCTCTTTGAAATCTGAGCATATATCCAAGAGACCAGAGTTCTTGATCCATCTTAGAGTGGAAGGAAGCAATAGTGCCATGAAGGAAAATTTTTGTAAGACTTGTTGCTACTAAGTGATTAACACTTTAGAAAGTGTTTTTTCAAAAGCATTTTTGTTTAGCATCTGGTATGGATTATTAGAAGGAAGACCTTAAAATTGGGGCTGAAAAAAAGCTGAAGGCTTTCTAAAAATGTATCTTAAATGTAGCAAGGGGTTTTGTTCTCTTAGTTACTCTAGGTGCATTTCACATGTTGAGGGTTTTTCCAAATTACTGTTTAAAACTAACAGCTGATTTACTTTCACCTGCATGAGTTGTTTCAGGTAGATGAGCATTTCTTAATATTGTGTATATAGAAATAACTATGTACAGACAAGCCAGTGTTACTCCTGTATGCTCTACTCAGACTCTATCTCCAGCACAAAGCCAGGTTTTTTTGTTATTTGCAGCCTGCTGTTTGTGCTAATGGACCATAATCCTAGGCTGTTTCTGAGCTGTGGCAATGGGGAGTTAGTGTTCAGTTTCAGTAGTTTACAAGCATGTGCTTTGCTGGTCTTGAAATAAAGACACTTTTTGTCTAAAAGCAGACTTTATTAGAGGTATAGGATGTGTCATACTCCTAATTTCCCTGCTATCAAGAGCTGAAAGACCATAACTCAGCAGGATGTAGCTATTTTGGAATATGGGACTTCACAGAGTACTTCTAGTCTCTACTGCAGTAGTTTCTGTTCAGTGCCTGGAGTCTAGAACCAAAGAAAGATTACAAAAATAAGCTTGTCTCCCACCTGAGGACCTCTTTCTCTTTTTTTTTTCTTTTTTCTATTTTTTTTTTTTTTACTTTAAAATGATTAAATAACTGCTATATATTGCCAGGCAGCAGTTAGCAGTGTAATAGGAACAGATTAACAGCACTAATGACCACAGTTGATTGTTAGGAGGAGAATTTATGTAAACTGTGGTCTGTTTATAGGGGACTGAATATCTGTCTGTTAGTGGTTGTAGAGTATCTTCCAACTCTATTTCAGCTTTCATCTGAACAGAATTTTGAACACCAAGATCACTCTACACTGAACTACAGCAGGTGCTCTGCTTCAGAAGTGCACTTACAATATGAAATGGACTATATGCTTTTTTTTTAATTACTTAATCTTGTTTCCTTGTAGCTATAACTTCAGTCCCCCCTATTCCATTTTTTTAGCACAGGGAAGTGGTGTTTCTGTTTACCATTGCAACACCTTCAGTCAGCAGTGCTTGCCTACAACCAACCAACCAGAACTAAATGCGTACTTCCTAAAGGCAGTTAGGGATTCTGCAGCTAAGAAAATACAAGCAATCTTTCCATTGTTGACAACAACGGTATTGGAGCATGACATTTAAAGACAAACCACCTCTAAGGAACTCTGATTCTTAATACTAGTAGATTTTCTTTTCCTTTTCTACTATCCCATTCTACCTTTTGTTTTTTCCTTCATTCACCACTCCCTGCTTTTTGCTGGAGGAAGACTTTTGCCTATTAAGGAAAGGAGCAGTTATAGATCTAATTAGCTGTTCTGTGTTCTGCAGTAATTCATCAGGGAATTCAGTTGATTTTCTTTTAGGTTTTCATCCCTAGAGAATTCAGGTCTGGCGTAAGCACAAAGCAAGTGTCTTTCTCTCAGCAGTTAGCTGTATTGAGCAGTCTCTTGCTTTCCCCTGAGGGAAGAATTGCTCTTTTTATTTATAATTTTGAGTTTCACATCTTTTCTATCATCTATCAGCAAATCTAGACTTGCAATGCCACACTAGCCTAGCTCAGGCTCTAGTATGATGGAAGGTAAGGGTAACTGCATACTGAAGTGGAACTCTGCCCTCCTATTAAATCAAATAGACTAGTAAGAAATAGCCACTTATTTTAGTTCAGGCAGTTTTTGCACCAAAACAGAAACAGAATCTGTCATAATTTAACATGGCCAGTATTGTTTTTTTTTTATCTCAGGCAGCCTGTTCAACCACCAAATCAGTGAAAATTTTGGTTTCTACTCCTCTGCCCTTGCTGTGACCTTCAATCTGAAGAGTCTCCTTTCCAGAGTGATGCCACTGACCGTGCCAGGTGTCTCAGTTCTTACTGAGGAAGGGGCTGGGTTACCAAATACAACAGGCTGTGCAAAAGACTAGCCTTGGTATTCTCATGCCTGGTATCTTTGAGGTGATTACCAATAATTAAAGAAATCAGTGGAAGAGTGAGTTCTCTCCTCCTGAATAGTACTAACCGAGAGGCTTCCGATTTTAATCCAGATCTCCTAAGAGCTGAGCAAATACAAGCTCATGCTAGAGTTTAAGCATCTCCCATGTAGTTACTCAAATGCAAAGCAGTGACCAGGAGGAGAAAAGATAAATTCCTTGTTAGGAAGACAGTAATTTACAGGTTATTTAGTTTTTACAATTGAGTTGCCTAGCTATGGCATCAGAGAATGATTCTAGACCTGTATTGCTGAAATAAGAACCACATTAAAGCCAAATTATGAATTAAGAGTCAGTATTTCCCTCTGAACACTTCTCTGGATCAGGAACAGAAGAGACTAACCAGTAATTACTATGTTCCAGGCACAGGGGTTGTTTCATAGAGATGGAAAGAAAATACACTTAAATTATTTTTTGGTATACAATCCTTACATGATTTGGAGAGCTGAAATCAGCAATCTAATTCTTGATGTAGTACACATGAGTTGTTTCCTATTTGTTAAGTAAAAGGAAGCTATATTATCACCATTAATATTAAATATCTGCCTTATGTGAATCATATCTTTATTAGTCATATCATTATTCAACATATATGCACATCTATACTGCAAACTAAATGGATCCATTCATAATGGACAGCTACTAGTCAAGAGCTTTTTTAAGCAATTAGAGAAGACTGAATGGCACCAATCTCTATTACGGGAAGAAAATTTGCAAAGAATTGAACTTCATTGTACCTATAGCCATCCTTACATCAAGTCCTTGTTCACTGGGTATAACAGTGCTTCAGGCCTGCTGTAGTGCTCAAACAATACCCTGAAATAATTTTTGTACCACTTCAGTGCAAGCATACCTAAAGTACTTCTGTTTTCACTTCAGATCTCTGTTGTGTGAACAATTCATAGAGCAGAAGTGGCACCCAAGAGATCAGTTTCAGACCAATTTATGCTTGGAATTGCTATGTATGGTTTATTGTTCAGACAGTGCCATTACCTGTTCAGTTCCATTTTATAACAGCTACTAACAGATGCCACAGACATGAAAAATCTAAAGCATTGTAGTTTGCCACTATGAGAAGATGCTTAATTGCCATTAAGAGCAAACCAAGAGACTGAGGTGTTTCCTCTTTCAAAAGAGAAAGCAGCTCTAATGTATTAGTGACCTGTACAAAGTCACTACTTTGTACAGAAGTGGCACGGAAAAAGTAGGCAATCTCTACTCAGTTCATAGATAAGAGATCCCTTTAATTTCGAGTGAAGCCCTGCGATTCATATCTGAACATGCCTAGCTGAAGGGCCCACCACAGCCCATACTGGGCTTCAACATCCAGGCAGATTTCTGTAGGGAAATTTCACTTTTTGATATAATAAACAAAGTATTTTCTGGACACTGCAACAGGTGGCATCACGGGATTCAGCTTCAAGTTTATACACATCTCAGTTGCACTAGATTTACTGTCCCCAACTGAATTGCTCATTGGAACCCCAAACCAGTTTCAGTATACATTTCCTCTTCCCTCTGGTTAACTTTTTCTTTGCCCAGTCTCACCTGGGGGAAAAGATTTAGCCATCAGTAACTTTCAAGTCACATTAAGAAAGCATGGGAAAGATGAGCAGCATAGTTACATGCACTTTTAGAGTCTTAGAAGCTTTTATAACCTCAGGTTATGACAAGCACAGTAAGTGACACAACAGTTACCCAAAAATGTCGAGGTCTCTGGGCCTAGACAACAAACAGAACTGGGTCAGTCATTTTATCATAACTAGTGAAAGCTAGAGATGCTTCCTAGAAAGGGATAGGTCTCTCCTGACCAACAAATCTACTGGTTGCTTTCATTTTGGGATATCTGACCAAGAGCGTTAAATATAAGAGGGGAACTGCCACTAGCTGTAAGAATTCGGCACAACAAGGACAATTGGCACAGGAAAGCTACATGTACTCCTCCGCCATGTTACATCCTTGTTAACACTGCATTGCCTTTTGAACTGATAGGGCAGACTACTACAAGGACAGGGAGGAGCCGTCAGCAGAGACAGCATACACTGATGGCAGACGTTTCTAAAGATGGAGACAGTACTCGTCTAAATAACTTTCTAAAGAAGTAGCTTTAGCCCTAGAAAATGTTATCTGATGTCTTATTTCATGTCATAGGCTGAGCTGGAAGAATGAATTTATGCTGAAGACTTCGTCACATATTGCCTTACTACAAGAAAAGGAAATTTGAGTAGAGGAGCAACATCTGGTTTGGCACTATCATATTGCCTCATAAGGCAGTGCAGTGACAGCATAGGTAATGTTAGCTTTCTGTGGCAGTTGTGTTTGAGCTGCAGCTATACATAACCAGGCAGCAGTAAACCTTGCAGTTGACAGTCTGGTGGCAGCAGAGACAAGTCACTCACACAGGCTTTGGTTTGATTATGCAGTTACAATTTATTGCATGCTATATCCTTAGGAATGACAGCTAAAGTTTTCCACTTATTAGGCTCAAATTAGTAAGTGTAGAGGCTTTGTAACTGCCATTGCATTTGAGAACATGTGCAAAACCTGATCCAGTGCCGCCCATACTAGAGTATAAACCTGTACTGTGTAAACCAGTTGATGCCAGACTACTCATTTTCATTAAAAACCTATACTGTGTGGTCCAGGGCTGGGAACAGAAACAGATGTTAAACTCCAATTCATGTTGTGATAGCTTGAGTTGAGACAGGTTATAGCATCCTGACTGGAAACTGAAGTGTTGTTTTCCTGCACTTCGTTTTTCATCTATCCCCCTCCCCCCCCCAAAAAAAATACAAACCAACATGTAACTGCAGGAAAGAGTTCAGTCTGATTGCAGATCCAGCCACAAAAGGTCACAATGGAGTTCATAGTTGGAGCAGGAAAACAAGGTCTGCTTTTGTCAGTGAGAAGCTGCCTTTTAAAGGCTCGAGTGTTTTTGCGCTTCAGTCATAGTCCAAGGAAGATGAAAATTCTGGCTTTGTCTAGACAGCTGATGCTTAGTCCTGCAAGATGTGAACGCTGCCAGTTGTCAGTTATACTATCGCCATCTTCATCTGAAAGTCATTTTTCCCAGGATACCAGAAACAATATATTTAAGTTCTTGCTCCCCTCCACTCATGCCTGTGTTCTCCATAGGTCATGTAGTGTCACAGATTTGTCTGGATATTCCATGCAGTTCAAATTAAACTGGCCGCTTATTCCTGCATACTTGAATAGAGGGACTCAATCTGCTTCTGGAAGAGTTTAACAAGCTCCGCTCGCTTTGCCTTCAGAGTTGGTGTCAAGAGTCCATTTTCTACAGAGAACATCTCTGTGTGGATGTACAGGTCTTTCACCTATTAAAAGAAAATAATTTAGCACTTGATGCTTACATAACTACTTAGAGGACAAAGCTCAGGTAGCTAAACTGGTTTTTGATGCAAGTCAAACTCCTTTTGGCTGACACAACAAGAGAATAGGCTGGAACTACAGTACAGCTGCTGCAGCCTATGGTGAATCTCCACTCCATCCCATGGCAAGTGCTGCTTCTGCCCTCCCTGTACAGCCACCTCCAGTTAATGTTTCACTGCCTACATCAAACAGTTGCCCAGGGTAACTCTCTTAGGTCCCATCCTGGCACAGTCAATAATAGGAATGAAGACTTCCCAGCCATTGCATTAGAAATACAGGTGCTTGTGACAAGCAGGATTTGGAAGTACTCACTTGTTCAAAGGATTTAAGGCCAGCCTCTCTCCCCAGTCTGACCATATCTTCTAAAATAGCTGTCTTCACTGCCTAGAAGAAACAGAACAGGAGCAGAGTAAAGCTGCCATTATGCAATTGCAACTCAAGACCACACCCATTGCCCAGTCAGTGAAAACCAAAGTTGGCAAGAATACTTATACATATTTCAACATTCAAGCTTTCCCATATTAAGAACACTACAAGGTCATGTCTATCTTCTCATTCAAAAAGAAGCAGTGATAGCCCTGAAAGATCAAGAGACACCTATACTTAGTTCCAGTTTTTACTGTAAGGCTGCTTGCATGACTCACCCAGCACTAAGCTGGTTTAATTTACAAAAGTTTGGGCTTCAGAATTAAATTCTATCTATAACCCACTAAAAACATAAAGCCACTCACTGGATTTTTGCAGACATCTTCATAGGAACCTTTTACACCCAGTTTTGCTGCAAATTCTGGAAGTGTCTCAGGATCAGGAACTACTATACCTATTAGAAAAGACTGAAAACAAATCTGAAATTACTTTGACTGTCTATGTGAACTCAATTGTGGACAGCGTGTCTGCAAGAAGCCACATCTACATCCCCATTCATTTCCAGAGTTTGGAAGGTAGCTACAAGGATTTTAAAGTCACTTATCTGAGTTCTGACAGCAGTAATTGAAGTACTAATGCAGTTTGTTACATGTGCTGAATATGCCAGCAACTACTTTTGGCTGGTTTAGAGAGTGAAGACTGGCCTCTGCTAGCATAGGTGACGCTTCCATGGCAAAGGAGTGGAGAAACACCTCACCAGAGAAGGCTCCAGGGAGACCTTATTGCAGCCTTTTGATACTTAAAGGGAGCTTATAAGAAAGATCAGGACAAATATTTAGTAGGGCCTATTGCAATAGGACAAGGGGCAATGGTTTTAAACTAAAAGAGGTTAGATTTAGACTAAATACAAGGAAGACGTTTTTTACAATGAGGGTGGTGAAACACTAGAACAGGTTGCCCAGAGGGGTGGTAGATGCCCCATCCCTGGAAACATTCAAGGTCAGGTGGGGTGGGGGTCTGAGCAACCTGATCTAGTTGAAGATGTCCCTGCTCATTGCAGGGTAGGTTGGACTAGATGACCTTTAAAGGTCCCTTCCAGCCCAAATCATTCTATGATTCTAAACTGTACAGAGCTGACCTGACATACTATCCCATACAAGTGTTTAATTACCCTTTACCCAGTTTGCAACTTGATGCCAAGACCTCCATTTCTTTTGTGTCACTTGGGAAGGCTATGGGTCTGAAAGGATATTCCTATAAACATGGCACTCTTGGGAACAGATCTTGTTCAAGGGCTCTTGTATATGCATACGTTTGTGCCCTGATCTTCCAGAACTCATTATGGGAGGAAACTTGCAGGATGGTCACTCCTAACATCACTTACCCTCAGGCTTTCCCCATGTACAAAGACCTGGGCTACAGGAGCACTTCTGATATAGACATTTTCTATCTTCTCTGGAGCAATGTATTCTCCTTGTGCAAGTTTAAATATATTCTTCTTCCTATCAATGATCTTCAGCGTTCCATTCTAGAAGTTAAAGGTGGAGGCCATTAGTTTCAAGTCTCTGTTTTGCTTTATAAGAAGTAGAATATAATAGGTTTGGTTATACTGTAGAAAGGCTAGTTTGGAACTGGTCTTTTTGCTCTCTACAGAGAAGGGGCACTTCATCTAATTTCTCCAGTTAGCTCAGGACATGTTTAGACAGCTCCTTTATTCTCCTCTTACAGAAACCAAGACACCTTGTTTTTCACTGTGGAAGTGACATAGTCTTAACTACTGGCCTAGCAGGTGTTATTTGAGATCTTGTAACCTAATTGGTCTTTGGAGCTTTGCCTGGAGTTACTTGGTGAACGATAACAAAATACTGTTTAAGGCTTTTATCTTAGAATTCTCTTCTCCAGCTTTTCAGATTACTGTAAACTAGCCAGGAATTCACATCCAAGGGATAGTTTGTATTGAACAATTACTCACTGGCAACCATTTCCCTATGTCTCCAGTGTGGAGCCAGCCATCTTTATCAATTGCTTCTGCTGTCTTCTCAGGGTCTTTCAGATAACCCTTGAACACATTTGGTCCTTTAATGCAGACCTATAGCAACCACAGAACATTGTTAGTCCCCAAGTCTTATGTTTTAGTATTTCTTGACACACACAGGGGATAGTACCTACCTCGCCTTCATTGTTAGAAGAGAAGTAGTTCATTTCTTCTACATCATCTAGTTTTATGATATTACAAGCCAGAGGGGCTCCAACATGGCCTGATGAAAAAAAAATAAAATGAAATGAGGACAGTTATGTTTTGAGGATTCTGCTAGCAGTTGGCCCTATTTATTCTAAAGCTAGAAAGACTAGGTCCTGAAATGAGATGGGAGAACTCAGATGCCCCCTACATATGAAAAACTTCAGCAATAGTAGATACTTAATGGCTCTTTGTTCACTGCTTTAACAAGAACCAGCACTACTTAGAAGAGTCTTGACACCAAATGTTCAAGAAAGTTATTGTAAGCCATTTTCAGACAGTCAGTGCAGGATAAGTAGCAGCTAAATCTCAGTACTTAGAACCATTTATTGGTGTAATCAACCACGTACCACACTTGCCTCCACAGAACTGCCTCACAGACCCTGGTATTCATTTGCATTTCATCCTCATCATGCTCTGCAGTTATTATGTTCTCAAAGATGGTGACTTGAGCTTCAATTTAGAATACCCAATATTTAAAACATCCTTGCTAAGATGAAAGCTAAATCTTCAAAGTCAGGTAGCCCTTCAGGAAACTAGTCATGATCATGTCTGATATTTTAGTCATAACTCTGAGTAAAACAAGTGGTTTTGGAGATAGTTTCTTAAAGCCATTTGGGAAGTCCTTGTCCAGTTTGCTCAGCTCTGTCCAGCTTCTTTCCTGAAAACTGGAACAGAGTCTAAACTGACCTATGTCACTTTACATAAGAGATCCTCACCTACTTGTGTCAAGAATTTTGGTACCTGTTAACCATATGGGTGACTTGCTACCAAGACTCAGTTTGAGGTTAAGTACCCAGGATTTAACTTTCACTGAAGTGAAAGCTGTAGAGCACCTAAGCATGAGTGCCAGTTTCTGTTGAAAGATGTGGGAGAGTTTCCAAGTCTCAGCTACCATACCTGTTGTCCAGTCTCCAGGCATTGAGAAAGTACATCCAGCTGAGCATTCAGTCTGGCCATAAGCTTCAAAGATCTGTGTGAGAAAGGATGAATATTCTTGAACATCAAGTCCCTGGTGTGAAAGAGCTCAATTTCAACTATGCCCACGCTCAAGTCTTCTTCTTAGGAAGGAAGCCAAGACAGTCTTAGCCTTTAGACTTCTTGGTCTTATTGGTGCAATGAGATGTTCTTCAATTTAACCTATCCAAACTTTGGTTTGGTCATCTTGTTCTCTGAAATCTGTTCTTGCATGTACTATATTGGGAGCTCATTGACTGTAAGGATAAGCCACAAAGTTCAGGGGCAGCTGACTGACTGAATGCTGCATGTTCCTATTTCTGCTTCTTTATTCCTCTTCCCAGTGCCTACAGGATAGTTTTTTTGGTAGTGTTTGAAGCCAGCCCTGCAGAATTTTATTCCTGTTACAGTTAACTCAGATCAAGCAGCCTGTAAATACTAAAGACTGACTGCAATCTCCCCAGGAACAAGCTGGGCTGGATCACACCTGTATCATTGGTCATTTATTTGGGCATAATCAAACACGTCTTACTTTAAGAAAAACCACAGCTTACCTGACAGCCTAATGCTGCTCTAAGAAATGTCAGGACAGAAGGAGATATAGGGGCTGCGCCTGTTACCATTATACGGACTCTTCCACCCATGGTTGCCTACAGATGAAATAGAAGCCATCAGATCCTCAAATATTACATTGCTCAGCTTATACTTTGAATAACTTACCTGAACTTTTTTGAAGACTAGCCGATCCCAAATGCTGTCATTTCGAATTATGCCCTGTTTTATTTCAGCCATCTTCATAATCACAGCGAAGTTTAACAGGCAACGTTTCACTGGGCTCTTTGCACCACTTTGTATCTGCAAGGAAAAATATCAGTGATTCCTGAGTTTAACTCACATCTGTACCTCCAGTTCCTGCTTTGTTAGCACCTTACTTCCATGTTCTAGGGTCTGTCTTCACTACTGCTATAGTCTAGGACATGAAACAAGGGGCAAAACTAATTTGTGTTACTATAGAGTTATGTTGCTATTTGCTATTTGTATTGCTATTAACTAGTGGGGATGTTATGATGCATTCAATATTAATTTAAACTTGTATCCTTGCTTAGATATATGAACACAAATATAATTGAGCTAAAATTGCTCACATACCTTGTCATATATTCTATTGAGCAGTCTTGGTACAACTGGAAATAGCGTTGGTCTCAAGGTTTTCATGTCATCTGTTAGCAATTTGATGTCTCCTTGAAAGAAGCCTACTTTTGCTCCACAGCTGTAGACCACAGTCTAAAAATTGAGCAAACTAAGCTTAGTCAAGGATAATTCCTAGCTTCATTAGCCATAATTATTTGTCTATGGAGAGCAGCATGATTTCCAGTGCCCAGTGGTAGTAAAGTTCTCGTGTGAATAGGTTTCGAGGAAATACAGAAGGCTATTATACCTTTTAGTATAATTTGATTTATAGAAGCTCAGATGCATGTATCTCTACATACCTGTACGACTCTCTCAAACATGTGAGCCAGGGGAAGATAGGACATGGTGATATCTGAACTTGTACACTCAACTGTGTTCTAGAGGGGAAAGAAATAGAAATAGGTTAGCACTCCCTATGCCTGCCTGAGTCACTCTTAAGTAGAAAGTGAATAAAGTTTGGATCAATTTGAGTACTTTGAAATAGACACTTCAAATGACTGAAGCAACTCAGGCTCATCCATCACCTCTTCAAAATTTGCAGCTGTAACTCAGCCATACTAGGTCAAGATTAATTTAATGTTTTGGCAAGACTTGAAATAGGGCAGTTTAGTACTCTTGGCATTTAGGACTCAACTAATTCTAGAATAACTTCTGTGTAGAAGTTCTTGTTCAAGGTTAAACCAAGTTTCTTGCAACACTATTATCTCATTGAAATATGGGCACTTAAGAAAGCATGAGTTTGCTGGGAGTAAATGGTTTATAGAAAATACCCACATTAAAGCTAGTTTCATGACTGAGTGACATAGCCTAGAGATCACCATTAGCAGTAGCTTACCTCTGTACTTCTAAGAAAGGCAGCAGCATTTGCAACAACATTTTGATGTGTCAGCATGGCTCCTTTAGGGTTACCTTTGGAGAGATCAAGCAAAGTCAGCTTGTGGCTCTGACTGCTTCTGCTGTCAGTTTCCCATGTCTTGTTTGGCTCAGTTTGAACTATCTTGTTATTAGGCTCAGTCATAACATGGCTTGTCCTAAGAGATCACAAATATGCTTCATCTTGAGCGCTTTCAGCTATGGATATTATATAAACGAAATGTCTACTGAAAGCAGAGTAATTAGGAGTAGCATAGAGAATGCTGAAACAAGATGTTTCTCTAGCCCCTGTGGATCAGAATACAGATACAGTTAAACAACCAATCTCTTTAACATTAAGACTCTGTATTTTTCATAGGGTATGACAGTATGAATTTGGCTATTCTTCCCCCCAGCTCTAAGCAGCTTTATCTTAGTGTATTTGACTTGTAGTGACAATGCCCCGAGTAAAATGCAGTAGTGGCTTGACACTGTTCTAATTTACTATTTTACTTTTATGTTGTTAACATTTTCTTTTTTTGTGTGTTGGAAAGCTATTTTTTTCAGCACAGGGAGATTGTTTTAGTGGGGAAGCATCACTGTATATTCTCTTACCTGTGGTTCCACTGGTAAAACACACAATGCAAAGATCTTCCGGCTTAGGAGGCTAGAGGGAAAAAGCCACATAAAGTCACCAGAGTAAGGATTATATTCCTTATCAGTATTTACATACACTTCCTAAAGTGGGATGAACCAGGAATTCTGTTTGGAAACAGCATGACAAGATGCAAAAAACTCCTGCCAGCCTCCTCTACTAGCAGCATGACAAGAGGCTAGTTTTGCAAGTTTATAACTGTTCCACAGAGATACTTACAACTGGTTCTCTGATGTTGTTTCTTCCCAGCTCCTGTGTGAGACAGAAAACACAACAATTGAAGCAGAAAGACGTGCAACAACAGTACATAAATAGGTAACTGCATTTCAAATGCGACAGTTGTTTTTCCTTTGTCTCTTGATACTCTGTCTCTTTCGGAAAGAGATGTTGGGTCTTCCTGAATTTAATACATGCAACTTGGAAAACCTGACTTTTGGGGTTGTGAAAAGGAGGAATTTGAGTGTTTAGAAAGTAATGAGAACTACTTAAGGAATTTGGAAGTCCTGAGTGGAGATATTTCATTTTATTTGATGTAGGACACATCTCTTATACTTTACATGTATGCATCATATCTGGAAGATTAAGCCTAGTATTGGGATGTCAAAGCGGACAGTAATTTGCACTTACAGTTTCACTTAGACTCAACTGCCAGCTCAGAAGCCTTATAAATCCTGTTACAACTGCACCATTAACTAAGCTAAAGAAGACTTCAGTTGAATGCATACTGACTGTCCACTAGACATGGACACAACTTTAGTCAGTGTTTTAAAGTCTGCAAGTCCATTTGGCTAAATATATCAAGTTTCAAAATGACTGCTTATCAAGCTCTCAGCTACAGGTGTGACAACTGGATAATGCTTACATTAAAGTGTCATTGTTGCCTGAAAAGGTCCGGCTGTCTGGCTGGCAAGGTATTCCTCTGCAAGAAGCCTTCAGTCACCTACCTCAACCTCCTGCAGTGCTAGCATTTCAACTCCCACTTTAGCTCCTCTGTCCTTGAGCTCTTTATCAAAGAGATCCATGAGAATGATAATCTTCAGACATGGGGTCTTCTCTTGCTCACAGTTCTCAAGCAAGGTCTGTGCCTTCTCAGGCTTGTCACAGATCACTATGCTTATGTCAGCTATAGAAAAGGAATTACATTTCAGAAGTCTGTTTAGAAGACATGAGGCAAGCAAGTAACTGCTCAGTAGTACATACATTTAGAACATTTGTTCTAAATCCATCTGCATTTCTTCATATGGATTCAGCGGCTGGTTTACAGTGCTAAAAAGGTTCCTCCTATCATGGCCAACTGATTGGGCAAACTTGAGATTCTAGCTATACAAAGTGAGGACAAGTGCTGAGGAACTGAAGACAAGTATCTTCAGTCACAGTCAAAATAGGCATTTTAACTTTTGTTATTGCCATAAAAATCTCAGAATTGTTCTCACTGATGGTTTAGGTCTAGCCATCTTAAATCTTAAAGAAATTTAGGCCTGTTTGATGGAAGTAGCTAAAGTTCTTGAGTTAATGCATCAGCTTCTCTGCATGTGCAAGTTTTATGCAATTACAAATTGAGTCAGCTGAGGAATTGGATTCGCCTGAATGTACCAGTTTCCCATTAGCCTAGTGAGTAACAGCTGTGTCCAAGGCAAGACTTGTTTACAATATTCACCAGCATAACTGTTGAAGTGATTTTGCTTAGCAAATCCTGTTTATGGGTTGGATCCTAGATTGCTGTGACAGCAGTGAATATTTTTTTCTCCCCATATATCCCCTGAGACTGGGGGAAGAAAGCCTGAAGATTTATTCAAGCTTCCTCACCAGTTTCTTCCATGATGGCATGCTAGTTGTTGCTTCTGTAGAACAACAGGCCCTAACCAGATAGATTAACAGATTTAGGCATATCTTTAGCCCTCCTTCCTCCACTCTTTACATCCTACAACTTTAAATCAGAAACACACATCTAGTCTTAATTTGCATGCAAGCCTGTCTGCATTGTTTGATTGTTTGGCAGTGTGGGAGTTCAAGATTGCTAAACCTCAAATAGCAAATAGTTGAGCATTCTGATTGTGGGATGGTCCACAGGATCTAGCAGGTCATCAGTGAACTTGCATTCAAGACACTAGGAGATATAGGAATTCCACTGGCTTCTAGGCATTGAACCATGTCCCCTGCAAAGTAGCTACATTTACAGAAATAAATTATCTATAAAAGTATAAAAGTAAGATTAAAGCTGCTCTGATTTTTGCATCAAATTCTCTTGAACTTTCTCAAAACAAAGTCTTTTAGAGAAGTCATTATGAAATAGTGGAAGTCAATATTTACCTTTGTTAACAATATATACAATGGCCTCTGGCCCCAGAGTGTCATAGAGTGGAACAGCAACCATTGAGTAAGTGTAGCAGGCATACTCTGAAATGATCCACTGAAGAGAGAAAATATAGTTAAGGAAAACTATCAACTCACAAAACAGGATTATGTACAAAGATCATACAGCTTGACTAGTCCATTCTCACATTAGTAGTGAAGGTTGTGTAAGGAGTGTGTCCATGAGATTTTTCAAGTAGTGAGGGTTCAAGGTCATTGTATTACATGCTTGGCATGCTATGTACTCAGCCAGTTGTGATTGTTCCTCCTGTGGCCTCAAGCTATTTAACTACAGACCCTCCTCTCTCCCCAAGCTGTCAGAATATTCTGGGAAGTAATACTCAGTTTGTTGCTTACCTCTGGCCTATTCTGAGCAAAAATGCCAATAAACTGGTTTGGTGATGGTTTGCATCCTTTTTGCAGAAGACCTGATCCCAGGTATTGAGCTCTGTCCAAAACCTGTAAGATAGTTTTCCACCACTTTAGTGTTACAAGACAGTATCCCAAATTAAATTATGTCATGTACAATACTCACCTGTTTATATGTCAGCCACTGATAAGGTTGGTTGGGTTTTCTGTAGCCTAAACAGCTGCCATTTCCTAATGGAAGAGTTCAGACAAGCCATTGTAAAACTCAGTACTGAAGTTGCATAACACTTCAACACAACACTTTAAGTGGGAAATATTTTCAGTCAGACATCCAGATAATTGCATGGAGCATGGAAGTGTAGTGCCCATAGTTAAGTACTCCGCCCAAACAAGTTGTAAGACTGTTGCCTTTATCCTTACAAGAAATACTTCCAAGATCTGATTATATTTTCCCATTTCACAACTCACATGAGACTGAAATAGTTTGAAAACTATCATATATTTCCATATTTATACCTGTTGTAAGCAGGCAGCAATTTTACATTTTACAAGAAAAAGCAGAGGTGTTTCTTGCCAACTCCCTCTGATGCTTCTCTTCACTGAACTCTACCATCCTAAGCTTCTGATGTTTGTTCTTGTCTAGTCTGCCAACTAAGACTACTTCTAAATCGGGCTGTGGTGGGGCAGAGGAAATATGGTCACTTGTCGTTTCATCCCACAGAAGGCTAGGAAAGCTTTTGCTAGCCTGAATTATTACTACAGACAAGAAACAAGGCAAAAAAACTTGGAATAATTTTATTTACTTGTGATAGGCAAGTACTAACGAGCAGATGCAAAGCTTACCAGAAGCATGCAGTCCTCTCTGGAAAACTTCATACAGGGTTTTACCATCTTCGAAGTAGTAAGAAAGCAGGTTATTATCTGTTAGGAGTGCACCTCTTCTGGCTCCTCCCTAGGAACAGAGCACAGTTATGAAACATTGCAGAACAGATGCAGTATCATTTGTTCCTCAGCCATTCTCCCAGCAATCCCCTTCAAAGCATTTCAATAGCATTGATTGCTAAGGAAGTCACATTTTCCTTCCTGATCTTGATCTACTCAGTCATATGCAGAGAAATATTCTAGATAGCCTATATTAACATTCAATTAGGGGTTATTAAAGAGACCTTGACTAAGATTGAGTGCTACCACTTGCCTACGTACATGAAGTCTAGCACCTGCCTCAAAGCTGATGAAAAGCATTTCAAATACAGAAAAAAGTCAGTGACAGCCAAGGTCATCTGGAAAAAGCTCACCTAATCCTGTTGGCAAGAGCTGCTGTTTCTTACTCTTAGTATTTTAAGACTTCCCTTCTCCCCACCATACTTTTGAGTTGTACACTTGGGAGAGAAGGCAGTGTAGGACAGGAGAATTTTCAGATACTCAAGAGTCAGAATGGATCAGTGTTCAGATTAAGCTCAAAAATAGTCCATACCTATAAGCAGAGTAAGTATTACCTCAATTCCTACTGACTGCTTGTTCAAGTCAACAGGAGGCAAAACAGGTTTTGGCCTGCTTATCACCCACAGGAAGATGCAAGCTCCAAATACAATAAGACTAATCAGTGCTGGTGTTGGGAGCGGTGAGAACAAGACTTGAAGTATCCAGATCATTGTGCTGGATCAATGGAGCCAGAGTTGAACCTGAAACAAACAGGAGGTTTAGTAGACATGAGTTAGATGCACTCACTACCTATGAGCCATAGTTACTTAAGTAGTTTGTTAAGCAATACTACAAATTATTTCAGCAGTTTTCCCCTAAAGAATCCTGGTACAATAATGAAACATGCTTATGCAATGCTTTGAGCCTCTTAAGAGATCTCAAGTCACCTGTCCCCATAAATCTTAATCCATGCTGCATCCACCTCCACAAAAAGCTGAAGCCTGATGAAGTCAGGCAAGGAACAGATAGATGTTAATACTTTCTGTTCGAGAGTAAAAACCTGTCTGGGGAAAACCAGTATATAATTTCCTAAATTAAGTATAACCAAAAAATACCTACAGTTCAGTGATGAGGGTAGTGGAAGCAAGAAAACTTGATATTATAGCTGTCTAATAGGAGGGGGTATTGTTAAAATAGTAGGGGTATTGCTAAGTTACACGTTTGTTACACCTACATAAGTCTGCAGGACAAGCAGTATCTTCCTGATCAGCTGCTCTTACTGGAAAGCAGGGTTTATGCTGGACAAGTATTTCAAATAGTGAAGGTGTGTTCAGCATGCGATATGGCACAAGTCAAAACTGTGTAATTACTTTCCACTAGGAATTGGTGACCTGAAAGTCCGTGTGTGCAGTGGAAGTCTAGCTGGGAAATATAGAAGCAGTTCTGCTGCTTGCATTCTCCAGTCTCTTCCTTTGGGGGCAAGGAAGAAAAGCCTGAGAATGCAGGATTTCTTTTAAGAGACAAAGAGACATCTACCCCAGCCCCCTCTCTTAGAAACAAGTCCTTTAATCTCTAAAATGTTCTGGTATGTTTAAGATTGAATTACCAAGACAAATCTAGCACAGGTGACTGCTTTTTCTCTGAATCAACAGATCTCACCAACTTATCTTTGCTAGTATCTAAACAGCTATGCAGGACATGACACATCACACTTTGCAAGATGAATAACCACACCCTTTCAAATTCCTTCATACAAATCAAGGGAACTGGGTCAGTAGATGGCATGTCAGCTAGCAACTACCTAAATAGCTGTACAAGAATACCAGGCATTCTGGAGCAATGGACTCCAGTTTCCCTTTAACTATTGAAGATATTTTCCAAACAGTAAATTCAGCCAGGCCCCTAAATCAGAATTTGGAGCTCCGAGCCCAGACTGACCAGTGTTGGATCACCCGTATTTGGTTTATGGTTTTGTAGTTTTCAGTTTCCGGTGGCTGTGTTAATCAGCAATCCTAATGTGTTCTCTGAGCTTTGCCTGCTCAGCATCTGGATAGGAAAGGGTACTTCAGAGGTCTGTCATCAAGTCCAAGCTGCCCAAATCATGTCACTTACGGATCTGAAAAGTACCAGCTCCTTACACCTCTTTTCCACTCTAAGCCTTAGTTACAATATGCCCTTCAAACTCCTGACCTTGGTCTCATGTATTGAAAGTCCAAAAAAATTGGACTACATCAAGAAAGGCAGGAACTGCCCTAGGCATTCTGCACTCATTGGCAGTGCCAGTCGCTATGCATATCAAACCTAAGAAGCACAAACCTGCTCTTTCTGCAGCACAGAATATCACCCATTTCCAGAGCTTTCCTTTGGGCCTTTATCAACTGAACCTGGAGAAATAAATCCCTTAAAGCCAGGTGTGCTGATCAAGTTGACATTCAGGGCAAAGCCACTTTACAGTTTAGGTTCTCATACTGTGCTGTTTGAAGACAGACGATTATTAATAAATTGAATTTGACAATCATTTGTTTTTCATGATTTATACATTTGGCCTTGTAATACAACTGGAGCAGTTAGAAAACTGCTTTCTGTAGGTGATTAAACAGTATCTGGTTTATGGTCTGAGTCAGCATGAACTAGTTACTTTTTTATAGTATGAACACTGAGGCAGCTTGGTAGAGGCAGCTCCACTCTCCAACATGAAGAGGGGTTGGGTATACAGATGTTATTCCTTTAACACAGAGGCCACTACTAGATCTGAGTGACAGAGCAAATCACACTTGTACTATTTGTATGAAGTTGGCAAAACTTGACTTTGGCACATCTATTCTCACATCTTTTTAGAGGGATACCACAGTACTCATGTTCAACTCCCCTGAATTTTGATTAGCAGCAATCAGCTTGGGCTTTTTTTCAGTCTTTTTCCATCCCCAGATGGGCCAAAAGGAGTTTGCACTCAGTGCATTTCAGATGACTCTTCTCTGGACATGAAATTTTTCAGTCAGCTGTAAGAGAATAGAGCTGTATGCAGGCAACTGAAGACACCACATGCCTGTCCAGCTGTACCAGTTTTAATGGCTGAAATGTGCTCTCATGTGGTCACTTAGTAGTAATTTTAAGACAATTTCGTAGAAACCAGGAAGGATTGGTTGTCTTTAGAGTATCATGCTAGAGGTAATAAACAGGACCAGGGACCATGTCTATAGCACCAAGTCCTCTACTATAACATATTAACACTGCTGAGCATTACCACTGCCTAATCAGACAGATCAGTGCAGTTGTCACAAATAACTACTGTCTGTTAGATGGACTTATTTGACAGAAAATTAACAGAGAACACCTGTCTGACCTTTTTGTGATAAGGATCAGAGAACCCACTAACCTCAAATGCTCCATGCAGCACTAGATAAGTCACCACAATCTTTCCATCAGAGTACCGTTGTCTCACTGACTCACATGCAAGGCAGTTTGTGCCAAGACATCTAGGAAGACTGAACATCAGGCCCTGAAGGATAATGATGTTTGAGCAGAGAACTCAAAGTCCAGAGAGAATACCTGATCAAGTGAGAAAAGCCTGAAGATTATTCAATGCAGCAAAGTTTTTGCCTTCAGATTCTTGAATAGATTCCACAAGTCTCTCATGTAGAGAGAAGGATAAACCAGACAGTAGTCTAATCCCGGTGTAACCAGTTATAAGCCAAATGGATTTTTAATTTAAAGAAAGACCTGTTGATGAGTTTATCTCTAAAGCCTGGGAAGTATCATATGCTCATTTGCTTCTGGGTTTGGTGGGTTTTTTGTTAGGTTTTTTTTTTTTTTAGTACCTCTCTTCATTAGCCTGCTTACAGCACTGAATGAGACTGTACATGTGAGAGCCAAAACCTAAAATCCTTTAAAGCTACAGAAGTTAGTGTTGTGTGTCAAAAAAAGCACAGATATCTAGATCTTGTTGTTTGCAATACACCAAAAAATGATTTTCATATCTGAAAGACTATTTTCAACTCCCCTACTTTATGAGCAGAATAGTGACAGTGTTTTGCTTTTACTTTCCTACCACGTTTCCTCAGATGGCCTTTAGTCTCTCTGATAGAAGGTGTGTTATTCAAGTTGTGGCAAGAGACTGTCAGCAAATTTGTCTCAATTCCCAGCATTAGGACAGTTGTTTCCTATGCCTAGAGCTTCTACTGTAACTACCTGTCAAATGCAAGTCACTGCTACTTAATCACTTCTGGTATCCTTCAAAAGTCATTTAGTCCTGCCCTCAAAGCAGCAGAGCCAGCAGAGAGAACAGGAATCTGTACTTGACAAGAGTTTTCTGTCCACGGGAAGAGCATAGCTCTACCCTAGATCTGTGCTATGAAGCAACTACAACCAGAGCTTAACCCACAAATCCAAATGCCCTATACATAATACCTGATCTATATCAACTGAGTGAAAACTCAACCAGTGCAGCATGAGACAAAGCCAGGGCATTTTTTGAGAGACACTGGCTTCCACTGCAGGGCAAGCCTGAGCACTAGCTGCTTTCTTAAGCGTGCGGGAAGTGGGGGTGGAGTGCTTGAAACCCCTGAATTTTGAAGGGCTCAGCTCCCAGTGACCAGAAACATAGAAAATGCACAAGATGTCTCAAACCAATTGTTAGGCCTCTTATGCAATAAGATGCTAGACAGTTAAAGTGTACTTAGGTTGTCTGTCCTGATCAATGGTCAGGGATAAGATCCACTAGGCTCTGGAGTGCAAAGGCTTAGTTTTTATCAGAAGAGATTACAGTGATACCATTTACAGCCTTGAATTCAGGAGTACATGTTCTCATTTCTACTGTAAACCCCATCAACCCCCCCGACCTCTACAGCAATTCCTCCACTTGTTAGAAGGAATGAAACAGTTATTCTCTACATCTCTCCACATCAGGAGATTCTCCACTGGAAAGTAACTGAGCTTTGTGCCTCCAAGCACATAAGTATGAAGAAAGAAATCAGTGTCATCTTTATCACAGTAGTTCTTTACAGATGGCAAAGCAACCTCTGATACTTGCACAATTTCAGAAGCAATGGTCATGCACTGCATGGGAGAATGTTTTCTAGAATTATATTCATTCTCTCAAGTTCACCTAAGAAACAGTTTGCATATGCTTTTGAGGTGATCATGAGAACTTGTTGCTCAGCATTAGTAAGGTAACATTGACTCTTTCCAAGCAGCAAAAGTACAACCAACTACACTGGGGTCACTAATTAGTTAGCTAACCACCAGTAGCTCACTCTTTACATTAGTTTACACAGTGCAATTCTTGCCTGGTGTCCTGCAGATGTGAGCCACTGTGCCAGTTCTTAATCCTTGAAAGCATTATATCCCATCTTCCTCCAGCTGCAGCAAGGAGAGGTCTTGTATTCTGCAGGGTTTAGGAACATCTAACTTTTAGCATCCAGAGAGAAGCTAAAGTCGGTGACTGCTGAACAGAGCCATGTAAAAACCACAAAGCAAAATCCACAGTAACTTGCATTACGCCTAAGATACACTTTAGTTCAACTTTCAGAGTACCTCTTATGAAAGGCAGAGACAAACAGTTCAAGTACCCTTTGATCTTGGCTGAGCAGCACTCTGCTAGGCGGTGGGAAAGACGCGCCTTAGTAACTTACTTTCAGGAAGTTTAGTTCTCTGTGGTTTCAGACTGCATGTTACAGGCTATTTCTGGGCCTTACTCGTGAAACCTATTGAACTCAGGCTTTCAGTACACTTAAATAGAAAGCCATTTTTTATAAAGAATTTTACCAGGTCTGATATTGCCGTCCCTCTATCAGGCAGTCAATGAGACCATGACATCGCTTAGTACTAAATGTAGTTTTGTCAGATAAATTGAAAAGCCAAGCTTTCATACATTTTTTAATCAG